AGTTCGTGCCCCGTGTAGCCACGCTGTACGGGGTTCGAACCAGCGGGGTTTTAAAAATGGCGGCTCTCCGCTTATGCAAATGAAGCCCGGGAAATTCAAATCCCGGGCTTCATTTGCAAGTGCGGTATGCCTACATTACCCCACTAGTTCGAACTAGCGGGGTAGTGTAGACATACCCTTAGTGTCCAGGGAATGGGATGAAAAGCAAGCCACGTCCAGGAGTTCCATCCCAGACAGCGGGTAGATAAGTTTCAAAGGGTTAGCCAAGCCAGCCTGAAACAGGGAAAAACTTTAAAAACGACCAATAGTCTATTAGCACCTTAAAGACTAAATAGTTAAAAGAGGCTGATGCGAACCCTTAGTTTACACTAGGAAAGGAAGAGAACTAACACAGATCCTACGCAGACATCAAGAACCATTGGCACCTTCGCTGCGTTGGAGTTACACTTGAGAATGAAGCGGAGTTCCAATCCTTCTCCGTGTATTTGGCTTGTGGAATTGGTTTGCCACAAAACAGCAACGTGGAGGTCCCTGAATGAGTGTCCAGGAGTGTCTTCGACTGGTTTTTATATCCTCCCCAAGAGCCGTGTGCACAGAAGCCCCTGTGTGGTGCAGCACAACATCCAGCCATTTCGCCTGCCCTGCTGGGGGCGTGAGAGACCCTTTCGGCCTGCAAGAGAGGTGACTCTACACCCCTTCCTGGGCCGCTGTTTCTGCATCCACAGCCTCCAGGTAATCTGTAACAGGAGCATGGCCCAGAGCATGGGTCACCTTGAGTTCTTGCTGCTCATGTGCAATGAACACCTCGAACTGTGGGGACCAGGTGGGAAGAGAGAGAAAGCATGAGAAAAACCCCCGCACCAAACAAAGCAGCCTGTAGTTTCCCTCGCTCTTGCACTTGGGCACAAACTAGTCTGCAGACACAGGAAAGAAGAGGAGGGCTGACAAGAGTATTTACCCACTTGCTTTGGGGACCGGCAGAAAAGGCCCCGAACTGGGGACAGAAGACAGAAGAAAAAGGTTCGGTGCTACTGAGCATGATCATGCGCCCATGGGAAAAGACAGGAGGGATTAGGGAAACCCATTCCCAGAATCCTTCCGGTTTCCAACAGTGAGCAACAGGGGAGGCAAATCTGTTTAGATCAAATAGCCAGCAACCCAAAGCCGCCCTAGAAACTCACAGGCAGCGTGTGGGCAGTTCAGAGATCTTTGACTGCCGCTTCCATCCGGCCTCTGGGTCTCCAGGCTCTGAGCAAGCCCACGAGCAGCGGAACCTCATGACACCGGCCCAGCCAAAAGCTCTGGGAATCTCCCGTCACTTTCCCAGGCCAGTTTTTTGCAGCACCAAGGGGCTTTGATGGGCTCTGCAAAGAGTGGAACCAACCCCCCTCCTCCAGTCTTTATCAATTGACCCATCCTGCCTGCTCCCTCCCCCATGCCTGATGCTGCTTCCACCAGACAATACAGACACCCTGCAGGGAAGCAGACGGGGAAGGAGTGGAGTCTCCCTCAGGGCCTCCTAAACTAGCTGCTATTATCTGCAGGAACTGTGCCATGGGTGCCACATACAGAAACACCCACCCAAGCCACGGTGAGTAACCCCGTCCTGCAGCTGTACATTCCCTCTGGGGGTTGACGTAGATGTTGTATGACTCCGTGCCTGTTCGAAACAACGCTGACGGGGTAGTGCAGCAGCCACGTTCCTCCCCAGAGCTGGCTGCATTTTAGTTCTCAACCAAGCAACGTACGTTCAAGATCCTGGGAGCTTTGCCTGGTTGTGGACTGCGGATCGGAGACATTGGCTTGCAAGGTGCTTTGAGATCCTTCTGATACATTCCGGAGCCCGGGTGTCTGACTGCATCACTTCTGTTGGAAGGCGGATTCGGGGAGATTTCTCATTCGCTCCAGAACTAAGCATGCCCTGCTGAAGACTATGGCGGGGAGGGGATGGAGGTATTTACTCTTTGGGCAAGTCTTCACAGGGGAGTCATTTCGAAATAACTCCCCTTCTTTCGAAACAAGGTGAGCATCCACACAGCCGGTTATCTCGAAATGATTTCAAAGTAACGGGCTGGTTATTTCGAAAGAACAACTCCAGCTTGTGAGGAACAGCGCTTATTTCACAACTGTTATTTCAAAACAGTGGTAGCGTGGATGCTCCACTGTGGCTATTTCGAAATAATGACTTCCCAGAGTCATTCGAAGTCATTCCTCTCAGGCTTCTTTGTCGGGTGGACATGCTATTCCGAAGTGTTTATTTCGGGAGTTATTATTACAAAATAATTTCCCGGTGTAGACAAAGCCATAGGTTGTCATCTGTGTAGAAGAGCAGAACTCTCGACCTGAGAGTTATGTTCATAAGGTTGAGCCAAGGCCTTGATTAACTAAGTGCGTTTTCTCACGGTGAGGGAAGTCAGGGGTCATCAAGTTGCCATGGGAACAGTAGGGGAAAAAACATGAATGGGAGGAAACTTCAGAGAGGAGCTGAATGGCTGCACAAAGAAAAAGCCACATGGAAGACTGGAAATGCTGCACAGGTGGCCAGAAGTCCAGGGAGCAACTTGGAACATCCAAATATCATCTCTCTGCCCGCTTCAATGCAGAAAGGTACAAGTTTCTGGGAGGCACTAACAAGAGGGTTGTGAGCAAGACAGGAGAAGTCATTATTCCGCTCTACTCTGCGCTGATTAGGCCTCAGTTGGAGGATTGTGTCCAGTTCTGGGCACCACATTTCAAGAAAGATGGGGAGAAATTGGAGAGGGTCCAGAGAAGAGCAACAGAAATGATAAAAGGTCTAGAAAACTTGAGCTATGAAGGAAGACTGAAAGAACTGGGCTTGTTCAGTTGGGAAAAGAGGAGACTGAGAGGGGACATGACAGTGGTTTTCAAGTATCTAAAAGGGTGTCACAAGGAGGAGGGAGAAAAATAGGTCTTGGCCTCTGAGGATAGGACAAGAAGCAATGGGCTTAAACTGCAGCAAGGAAGGTTTAGACTGGACACTAGGAAAAAATTCCCAACTCTCAGGGTGGTGAAACCCTGGAATAAATTGCCGAGGGAGGTTGTGGAATCTCCATCACTGGAGAGATTGAAGAGCAGGTTGGACAGACACCTGTCAGAGATGATCTAGACAGTGCTTGGTCCTGCAAGGGACAAGGGGCTGGACTCGATGACCTCTCGAGGTCCCTGCCATTTCTAATGTTCTATGATTCTAAGTGGTTGGTCCTCAGCCAATACAAATTCAATTCGCTCTGGTGAAGACAACACACCTTCCCCCATCTATCCCCACTGAGGATTGGGCCCATTATATTATATATAAATCAAACTCTGCATCACTGATCCCAGTCCCTACAGGCCAAAGGTTCAGGAGGCTGCCTTCTGGCTCAATTATGCAAAACGCCCCGCTGGGCTTGATTCCGACCTTAGACCAGTGGAACGCCTCTGACTTCAATGACCCAGATCCAAACGCTCCTTCACTAGCCAAGGGCAAACCTTAGGGTTCCCCTCCGAGGCCACTTTTTCAAGAACTCAGCAACCAGCAGCTCCCACTAAAGCCACCAGAAGGCAGACTTGTGGAAAAGCCTAGGGCACTGGCTCCTCTGGCAAGGAGTTCCACAGGTTGACTGTGCCCTGTGTGAAGAAAAACTTCCTTTTGTTTGTTTTAAACCTGCTGCCTATTCATTGCATTTGGCGACCTCCTCCTTCTTATATGGTGGGAATAAGTATATAACTTTTCCTTATTCACTTTCTCCACACCTGTCATGGCTTTAAACACCTCTAGCATCTCCCCCCTTCGCCTCCTCTTTTGTAACCTGAACAGTCCCGGTCTTCCCCATCTCCCTTCAACTTGGCTCCGGGAAAGTTGGAAACCCTTCATGAATTGGCATTTGGCGACCTCCTCCTTCTTATATGGTGGGAATAAGTATATAACTTTTCCTTATTCACTTTCTCCACACCTGTCATGGCTTTAAACACCTCTAGCATCTCCCCCCTTCGCCTCCTCTTTTGTAACCTGAACAGTCCCGGTCTTCCCCATCTCCCTTCAACTTGGCTCCGGGAAAGTTGGAAACCCTTCATGAATTGGAGCGTCACGTGGGTGGAGGTGCGCGCGCCATTGAGCCCGGGCTGAGCCCCGCCAGGCGGGGCGGGGAGC